AACCAATGTGCCAGGATCTGGACATTAAAAATGTATCTTATCTTATCTTATATTATCTTACTTAGAGGTTGACCTGTAATGACCCTCCATCTTTCACGGTCCCGAGCTGCCGTAGCACATTCTGCCATACCCAGGCCAGTTCAAGCTTTTATGCTGTTCATCCATGTTACTCTTTGTTTACCCCCCCCCCCCCCTCGGGGCGGTGCTACTGACTGACTGAAGTGTATTTAGGCCATCCCAAAGGAGGGACATTTCTCTTTCTAATGCTCAGCAGAATGGTAAATAAGATGATCCAACAATGTCATGCTCATAACTGTGCCTGAACTACGACAGGGAAGTGCTGCTTTTTCTTTCCTAATCCTTACTATTGTCATTTTTCTCTACTTCTTTTGTATGTTTGTCACACTCTTTCCGGGGTGCCTTGATAGTCGAAGCAGACTTTGTGCTGTTGAAGCTTGAGAGGTGAGCAGAATAAGTCTGATTCCCTGTAAGGACTTCTCTTTTGACATCCACCCCTTAGCGCTCATATGTGACTTTATGCAGTTGTGAGCGCCGTAAAACCTCTACTAAAACTAAACTAAACTCTTTGTTTCTCCCTGGCTCTCCTGCCCCACTTCCTTCCTTCAGGCACCTTTTCACAATGGTCTCGAGTCAATTAAGTTGGCATGATGGCAGCTGCAAAACTTGATGATTAATTCTGTCGGTCGAAAAAAACTGTATGCAGTCTATATTTATAGATATTTTTTTGGTCTAATTTTGTTGTTGAGGGCTGTTTTTGTGCCACTGTTCCCCCTTCTCGTCACTTGAAATTGTTGTTGTTGTTATTGTGGTGATTGTCGTTGCTGCTGCTCTTGTTGTTGCTGTTGCTTTCATTATTGTATTGCTGCTGCTGTTATTGTAGCTGTTGCTATTGTTGTTATTGTTGTCATATGACAGCAAGACTTTTGAGAAAAACAGAGTCTGTAATGTAGAGACAGCAAGAAAAGCAAGAAAATCAAGACAGACAAATTCTTACATTGACATTGGCTAATTAACAGATAGCAAGCGCTCTGCTCCTGTAACATTTCTTCTTTATAAAAAAGAAAATAGCACTTGAATGTCACAAGTGAACCATAGGAAGGGTTAGCCAACTTACCATATGTCAAGACAGATAAGCACATCACTCCAGGAAAGGGGAAGGCGTCGCTATCTGCGGCCAGCTGTGGCATATGGGATCATTACAAGTTGCTTGCTATTATGTCCTTTACTTCACTCTCTTTATCATCTATAACTTCTCTTCCTCCGTGGATGTTAAAGGTCGTCGTCAGTTCATGATAAACGAACTACAGGCATTATCATCATTAATATTATTGCAGTTTCTGTTGCTGTTGTTGTTGTTGTTGTTTGTTTTTGTTGTTGTTGTGATGATGATGTTGTTTTCATGTCACTCTTGTTGTTGTTGTTGTTGTTGTTGTTGTTGTTGTTGTTGTTGTTGTTGTTGTTGTTGTTGTTGTTGTTGTTGATGAGGATGATGTTGTTGCTGCTGCTGCTGTTGTAGTTGTTTTTTTGTTGCTGCTGTTGTCCTCATTGTTATTGTTGTTGTTCTGTTGTTTTCGTTACCTCTCTTGTAGTTGTTATTGTTTTACTACAAGAAAACTCATTAACTAGAAACATGTCATGACTGTATTCCCAGGCGTCCACAGCGATAATGCTGACGTCGTAGAAGAAGTGAGCCAACAAAATGGCGGCGGCACCAGGGATCATTGTTACGCTTTCGACGTCCGGCCAGAAGATTTGGTTTCTCTCCCGGGCACGCCTGCAGGCGCTACAGCACCGGAGGAACGATGGTGAGCCAGTGAGCAAAAAAAACATAAAAAATTATACATGTTTAATTCCTCTATCAATGGTGGTTAGAGGCCGCCAGACGGTAACTCTCCAATAAATAAATAAATACATAAATAAATAAATAAATAGATAAATAAATAAATAAATAAATAAATAAATAAATAGATCCATAGATCGATCGATAGATCGATAGATAGATCAATAGATAGATAGATCGATAAATAGGTCGATCGATAGACAGACAGACAGACAGACAGACAGACAGACAGACAGACAGACAGATAGACAGACAGACAGACAGACAGACAGACAGACGGACATAGATAGATAGATAGATAGATAGATAGATAGATAGATAGATAGATAGATAGATAGATAGATAGATAGATAGATAGATAGATAAAATAAAGCTAAGGTAGACAAAACAAAACAGTGCACTTGGAGGAGTTCTGGTAAGTTTAGTCCATAGAAGACCAGTTGTGGAGAAAAAAAAATTCGACAAATTTCAAGAAATACATGTAATTATTTTCTCTCATCCTAGGCTAGTGCCTTTGAAATGACTCCGGGTTTTTTTTCTCAACACAGTTAGGTCATATAAGTACCAAAGATTAGGTGTGTTTCAAGAGAGTAACAAACGCAAAAGGATGAGAGACAAGAACGACAGATGTTTGAAATGAAAGAAGGAGCGAACCAAACCACACCAGCGCACCCGCCAACCATCTACGGGATCACTTCGTTGGTGTCGGTCTACTTGGCGGTCTAACGAGATGTTTCTGTGTGAAATGACGGTCGACCACAGGACCAGTTTGACAATAAAATGTACCACTTGACGATCTACTTCAATCTACTACAGTCTTCATTCCACAATTTCAACCCAAACCTAAACGGGCGTCGAGATAGGGTTATGATTTGCTTTAAGTAGTAGACTGGCAGACCGCCTAGTGGAGCAACTGTCGGACTGGTCCGGTGGAAGACTGACAAGTAGAACAGAAACATCACGGTAGACAGTCAACTGGGATTGCGTTGGTATCCTAATGGTTAGGCTACCGGACCTGCTATTTTTGAGATTGGTGGTTCGGGGATTCGAGCCTCTACTCGGTTCGACGTTGTGTTTTTGGGAAAGGCAATTTTCATGAATTTCCTATTTTTACTCGGTCCTTTTGGAGATGGACTTTTAACTCGGATGCCCAGCCTCTTAAGTGACCAAAATAATGTTGATAAGGGCGTTAAGCCCTCACCAGTTCTCATTTCACAGTCAAGTGGACCTGCACCACTTAGTCCGTTACATAGGATGTTAATTAAATTTACTTACTTTTACTTTTTTCCTCCTCTGTTGCCGTTAAGCGTCCGAGGGAAGATGCATTTTTCTACGGTAAACAGCTCTGCAGCTCTTTCAATTGGGTTATTATAATTTTTCAGGGTTTCCTCGACTCCTTCCATCCCTCTTTTGCGTAGTCTACCTCTTCCTTTATAGCCTGAGTACTTGGTGTTATAAGATCTCGAGTTCATTTAAACACTTTCACCAAATGAACAACAATGTTGTCCTGTTCTCTGTGGTCGCCAGGCCGGTTCCTGAAGATTTGACCCTTAGACAGCTTGACCCGGATACAGACACAGCCAGGGCGGTCGAGGTCTGGCACCGGAAACGACGTCACGCGACGCAGTTCGTGAATCGAATCCTAAAACATGTCCCGTCACTAGGGCTGTTTACTAAGTGAGTAGAGTAATGTAGAAACAAACGCCATCAATTTGATTATTTACTTTACTTTACTTTTACTTTTCCTCTCCTTTTAAATTGTTAGATGTCGAGGGGAGGTGCAATTTTCGATTAAAGGCTGGGTGAGTGTCTTTTGTTGTTGTTGATATGTTATTCTTTTGGAGGACATATATAAAGCCATCCAGCCAAGTTTTACTTGGTCTGCCTCTGACATTGTATCCTGACTTTTCTGAATTGTGAGTTCGTGCAGGTGGTTGATTTGGTGACACACCCATCAGATGACCGAACCACTTGATTCTTTGATGTACTATGATGTTCCATAACTGGTTTCATCCCTGTTAAAGTTTTGACAGTTTTGTCCCTTATGTAGTCTTCCCTTGTGAGAGGCAGTTGATTTGCTAATGTATTTTACAAGCTCGTGCTTGCGTCTGAATGATCAATTTAATGTAAGTTAGATCCCTTCACACGGCGAGAACGTTTGATTAACTCTTACAAAAGTCGGCACGTCCACCAAAAAGATGCTTCATTGTTGATGTTACTACATTTTTTTTCTTTCTCTCGTTTCCCTCATTTTTAAAAATAGATAATATCTGCTCGCTGTATTACAACTGCGTCCTCATACATCAAATATTCCTTCTTTCCTGAACATTTTGGTGAGTAATACAAACTCTACTTTGAAACATATTTATTAATAATCTCTGATGAAAATGCTAATGTGTGCCTTTAAAAACATTTAACTTGCTTCGACAAAACAGAAAATAGGCATACACTTTGTAAGACTTGAACCGCATCATTTCTCTGTGAAGACGTATATTATGGTTCTATATTAATAATAATAATAATAATAATAATAATAATAATAATAATAATAATAATAAATTATTGCGCCTGACGTTATATAGTATCACCCTTTAACATAATTAAACAAATCGTATTTCTCCTTTACAACAATGTACTAACTTTACGTGTTGCGTCATTACTCTCTATACATCAATTGTGTTTTTATCAAAACACAGTCCACAGATTTTGTCTCCATACATCAATACATGTAGTATTTTATCCGAACACAAACACGATACATCAACGAGTTTTTATTTGAACCATAAGTTTTAATCAGAATAATAATATCCTAGACTAGGTACTGCCATAGCTGCCACTCTTTTCTTTTTGTAATTATAGGGCAAAACACCAGTTTCAGCACAGTCAAGCGTACAAGCAACCTTTTCACCCTTGCCCTTTATTTGGTTCCAAATAGAGTCAAATGATTAACAGACTTCAACAAAAGTTAAGGGCCACCTTGACAGACAAACATGATTTTTTTTAATCCGAAAAAAAGACAGCAAGGAATATTTCAAAATTTTTAGCTCTGAAAGCGTTAATGGGTTACCAATGCGTACTGTAATGCTTCCTAAAGGGGCAATACCAACACGTGCTGCACGGAAATCCCTGGGGAATTTTAGCCAAATTTGCCTCTTTTTTATCGACTTGTGTGCGACACCACGGGCATTCCTCAGTTAAAATTTCTTGTGCACGTCATAAACAGACGTACGGTTTCGAACTGTGCTCACTTAGGTGGCAATATAAGCCGCCGTTTGCGCAAAATCCAGTATCGCATCAACATGCCACCAAGACGAGAGCTGAGACTTTGATCGTGCCCGAGCTATGGCATGGCTACAAGATGACGTTACCATTGTGACCGTAGATTTAAACCCAAAAAAAATGAAGTTACATTTTAGGGATGTTTTCCTGTCATACCTCCTTGCTATAAGGCTTTATCTGAAAGGTCATAGTTACCGAGATAGGCTTATAAACCAGCCCCCCTCCTTAAAATACAACTTTACGATATTAAAACAGATGATAAAAATCATGTTGCTGCACTTTTTCAGAGGGGGTCGCCTTGTAGCTATGGAATACGGAACCCACTGGGGCACTATGGGAACTCTACACGTCGATGACGACTACAGGGGGCGGGGCCTGGCCAAAATCCTGACGTGCCGATTGGCTCACAAGTTCTATGAGGAAGGTCTTCCTGCCATCGTGAACATAATCAGCACCAATGCCGTATCCAAAACTCTGCATACAAAGCTGGGCTTTAGGCCGTTTGCAAAGCTAGACTGGTACATGCATGGTGATATAGCTGAATACAAAAAGGAGGTTTAGCGAATCAGACTTTTAGAGTTTTATTTGTTAATCCTTTTGGCTGATTGTATATTAGAGATCCGGTGTCTGTGGTGCAGCAGTGAGACTTTCCCCCACTTCTTATGGAGAAAACCTGAGTTCAATTCTCGAGTGGGGAAGTTTGATCCGAGTATTACCATCTCTCTGATGGAATGACGCCTCCAACTCAACCAGGGTTGATCGTTACAGGCGGCAGGATCGAAACAGCCCGCCTCCGAACAGATCAAAATTTTCTTTTATTCTCTCTTTTCATTTTTGGTATTTTTTATATTGTCATGCCATAATATTAAGTATTGCAAAATCCTATGTATATGTAATACATGTAGTAATGACAACAGTCACTCAATGTACGTGTGTATGTTTGTGTGTGTGTGTGTGTGTGTGTGTGTGCGCGCGCGTGCGTGCGTGTGTGTGTTAATGAAGGGTGTCTTGCCTTGAAACATCCAGGCGTATTGTTCCTGTGTTAATGCTACTCTTCTACCTCTCTCTCTCTCTCTCTCTCTCTCTCTCTCTCTCTCTCTCTCTCTCTCTC